ACCTTGAGCCAGACATCCTGCAGAGTGAAGTCAAGTGGGCCTTAAAAAGCATGGCTAACAACAAGGCCAGTGGAGGTGATGGCATTCCAGTTGAACTATTTAAAATCTTAAAAGATGATGCTGTTAAGGTGCTACACTCAATATGCCAGCAAGTTTGGAAAACCCAGCAGTGGCCAGAGGATTGGAAAATACATCTGAATCCCAAAGAAGGGCAATGCCAAAGAATGCTCCAACTACCATATAATTGCACTCATTTCACACGCTAGCAAGGTTATGCTCAAAATCCTACAAGGCAAGCTTCAACAGTATGTGGAACGAGAACTCCCAGAAGTGCAAGCTGGATTTCGAAGGGACAGAGGAACTCGAGACCAGATTGCTAACATGCGCTGGATTATGGAGAAAGCCAGAGAGTTCCAGAAAAACATCTACTTCTGCTTCATTGACTATGCAAATGCCTTTGACTGTGCGGACCACAATACACAATGGCAAGTTCTTAAAGAAATGGGAGTGCCTGACCACCTTATCTATCTCCTGAGAAATTTATATGTGGGACAGGAAGCAACATTTAGAACTGGATATTGAACAACTGATTGGTTCAAAATTGGGAAAGGAGTATGACAAAGCTGTATATTGTCTCCCTGCTTATTTAACTTATATGCAGAATACATCATGCGAAAGGCTGGATTGGATGAATCCCAAGCCAGAATTAAGATTGCTGGGAGAAATATCAACAACCTCAGATATGCAGATGATACCACTCTGATGGCAGAAAGTAAGGAGGAATTAAAGAACCTCTAAATGAGTGTGAAAGAGGAGAGCCCAAAAAATGGTCTGAAGCTCAACATCAAAAAAACTAAGATCATGGCCACTGGTCTGATCACCTGCTGGCAAATAGAAGGGGAAGATCTCGAGGCAGTGACAGATTTTACTTTCTTGGGCTCCATGGTCACTGCAGATAGTGACAGCAGCCATGAAATTAAAAGACGCCTGCTTCTTGGGAGGAAAGCAATGACAAACCTAGACAGCAT